CCATTTGGCCTTTCCAGAAAACTTCATACTCTCCCTCTACACGCGCAGACTGTCCTCCACCCGCTTGAAATAGTCCACCCGGGGATGGACCGTGATCACGACGCCGCAGTCCGCACTTTTGGCTGTCTCATACAGTGCAAGCAAGATTTCGAGGCGAGGGCAGCGAGGGTTGCGGTCCGAAACCATGGCGCCACATGACCATAAACGTTGGAGGTTGGCGGCGTGCCATGGTCCGTCGCTTTAGTGCAGCCTGGCGCCGGCAGAATGAACAGGGGGTCTTCGCGGAGCGGTGTTTTATTCTCGAGCGAGACAGAGGTAGTAGTGGGCGCTTGACATTCCGCGAAGAAAGGTGTGTTGAGACGCGCTCCACGACGCCTACCCCAGAGACGATGTTGCGGGGTGTTTAACAAGGAAACCTTCCGGAGACAGGGAGGCTGAAAGACAGAGGTAGCTGGACAAGACCGGACGTAGACGGCTCGGAAGCCCCGAGCTGCCGCGGCACCTGCCAGACCCGCCGCCCCCATGATACCATGATACTAGACATAGGCCACCATACCAGGCCGACCCAGGCCCTTACATTAATGAGACGATGACTATCTACTACTGCCACAGCCCCGCTTCGGCTGAATCTTCCCACGTGTTCTGTCTGGACTCCATTCATCCGTCCCGAGTGCTCCGCTCATCTAGTGTTCAGTAGCCTCGAAGTCTAAATGGCCCCAGGCAGTAAACTTTTATCGCAACACGCCGTCACACGAGAAAAGGAGCCGCCCATTTCTAAGATCTGGCGCCCAAAGGGGGTTGCGGTATGCCACATGGCTTGGCCCAGGTGTCAAGGGCCCGCTTCAGCTCGATGAGCTTGCGATCGGGCTCCGCCGAGCGACTCCGAGCTGGTCTGAGCAGCGATGGATTCGGCATGTTCGCCAGCAGGAGTACCATTGTTCGCTCCGGTTGACCTCCGTCGTGTCTTCTGGTTGTTAATGTGATTTTTGTGTCCACTGTCTGGTATACTAAGACGAGAGATCCTTCTGTGCTCCAGGAGATTTACCTGCGTGGATACGTCGTAACTTTGACACTTGCCGTCAGGGCTGGCTACTCTCTGTGCTTCATACTCATCAAGATAGATGTACATTGTGCGAAAATGCTCTGGTCATGCATGGTAGGCCATCACGTATCTCGGTGACTTCCCGGCTGTTTACTTGAGAAGGACATTGCTTGCCCGGCAAGGCAAGTGATAGATATGCATCTCTCTCGCGAGGCTTTGAAAACCGCTCTCGGAAGCTTGTCGAGGTCTGAAGTATTCGAAATTAAAAAACCAAAGGCGAAGAGCTGGTTGTGAGACCCCTTTCAGGCGAAGCCAAGTAGTTATACAAAAAAAAAGATGCTAGACTGGCCGGACATCCCCAGCGAAATACGAGGAGGCATTTCAAGAGCGTCCCAGAAAAATTGGGAAAAGCTCAATTTCACAATAGAAACACATTTGAGTCAAGAAGAGCCCCACAGAACTGTATACCACCGTTAAAGCCATGGTCTGAGAAGATACAAGCAAGCAATTACCTCACTGCAGTAAGGCTAGCAGGGCCGCGTTAAAATTGCTACCGACAGTTTTGGAATAGGGCGCTTTTTCATGGCCTGTCACTCTTCTGCCTCTGTAGCATTCTTGAAACCATTGGGTAGCCAGTTGACTGCATGAACTATGTAGAGTCTTCGGTACTGTATGGTAGCCGCCAAGGCTTTTTCATCCCTGAACAATAGCAAAGCAGATCAAACTTGAAGAAATCCCGAGGACAGGACCACCAGAGATCTCAGTCGCGCATTCTTCATTCCGTCATCATCATATTCGCTACCATCTGCCCGTAAGTCTGGTCCGGATTCGTGCCCTGCGGCACAAATAACGTAACTCCTGGCAACCTCCGGGGCCTGACAAGCACGAGACCCGTTCAGCAACCTAGTCCGCTCCGTGTCATGCGCCTAGAAAAGGGATATATAGATCGGCTTGGCTGCTCGGCAGCACCGGCGGTGAGTCATCATCATCGGGGAGTTCATCGGCATGTTTGAGTGACGCATGGCTCATTGATTTAAAAAGACCAAAAAAAAGCTGATAGGAACCTGAAGATGCCAGGAACCCCTTCCTTACCGTCCTTTCTCGTCATCACGCAGTTCCCTTGTCAAAACATCTAGCCTATCGGGAAATACACGCGAGTCGGGCTGTCGAGCTGAGCAACGGGAACGGTTGAGACTGGATGGACTCAATGCATGCCCCATAGCACGAGGTGACAATGCAATACAGTCGAGATCGTTAGTAAAGATAACGCGGACACGTCACCCTTTTCGTACGTCCCACATACTTTACAGAGTGTTGGTGCGGTGTAACACAGCATGACAACACTGTCTTGCCTGTGTCAGAACTTTAGAGACAAGAATGGACAAGAGAAACACAGTCTGACTCTGTGTACTAGCGTACCAGTCCCTCGGGTCGTATCCCGCACCATGCAGGAATGCAAACATGAACGGAATTTCGGCAAAATTCCCTGATCAGCAGTGTTGAGTCTGTACCGATTCCACCTCTTGCCCTTCAACAATTGTTTCTAGTATGTGGGAGGCTTTCCCAATTGGGGCAATCGTGGACTGTGACCTAATGGCCAGCCTCAGTCTGTGGAAGGCTTGGGGAATATGGCAAGCCTGCGCAATAGGTGCTGCGAAAGCATGACTGCGGCTGCGAGACCTGACGCAAGTTCAATTTTGCCACGAGAGACCCTATAGGCAGTTTGCTTCGGCGAGGGAGATAATCTCCTTGATCACTGCTGTTGGGCGCTTCCCAAGCACGGGATTTTGTGCCCGAGCTTCTTTCACCGCTTGTTGTCTTATCGGATTGTCGTTGGGGAAAGAGATGCTAGAACGATCAAGAGCTGTCGCCACTCGACCCTGGTGTTTCTCAAGATCCAACAGGCTTCCGTAAGTGGCATTGTTCAGCTATGCAGCAGCCTTCTTTTCCCCGTTCGTATATCGAAAGATCGGCGAGGAGTCGGTCTGGATAGGAGTTTCTGTTTTGTATTGCCAGTACTCTCTGGGAGGACACGTCAGCCATTGCTAGTATTGATCCAATGCCCACGCAGAATGTGAGTCTTGGAAAGAGAGGTGCGTTCCCACGTCACTAGAGTTCAGCTGTAAACGATAATACAATGGAGCCATCACGCTGCACGAGCCCCATGATGGCCAGACACCAAACGTTCGTTCGGTACCGTGACGGAAGTATCGACTGCCTGACCAACATTTTCTTTTGGGTATCTGGCATCATTGACGCGTCGAATTTCACTGGACTGACTGAGTACTGATCCACGGGAACAAAAAGCCCCGGCCGGATACAATGTGTGTTCGGTTGTAGGGACGGTAGGGAGGTGATGGGAGGCGGGGTTACTACGTCGGTGGACGCGTACCTTGAGCCAGGAGAGGGTCTGCGGCACTTGACGAGTTCTTACAACCATAAATGCATATTCAATTCGGGTCGGGCATTCGACTGTAAGAGAGAAGTCGATGGCTCTAAGGGCCTCGGCACGACACGCCGCCTGGGTTGTCGACCACCAGGATTCCTGGCATGGCCATCGATCGGATTTGGCAGACTTCCAAGGTTTGTTTTGAACGTTTTCATAGTCGATGGTAAAGCCATGCGGAGCCGAAATGCTCAAGGTTCCCGGCGTGATGTCGACTGAAAAATGCGGGATCTATGGATTCAAGCTCCTTTAACGTAGTGTTTGTTAAAAGAAAGGAACAAATAGATGAGGGGTTCCATGCGGGAATCATGGTTTCTAGAGAGTAGATTTTTCTCGGGGAACATTGCAACAAGCATGCTGTGAAATGTGTTTGCGGGATGGCAGGCCATGTGAGATGTGGTTCGTGGGCAGGAAAAAGTTGGAGGAAGAATCCAGCGAGATTGACCAAAGCCCCTGAGTATCGCCACTTCTAGGTAGTGCCAGGTACAAGCAACCAACGCCAGCCACGGCAGGCACTACTGGAGCTGGCCAGCCTGTCATCCCTCCTTCCTCCCCCTTTCTCCCCAGTCGACTTCCTCTGCTACTACCGGGAAGGCACCAAACCACACGATATCAACAATGCCACCGCTATATCGTTTTTGATGAGATATCTTGCCAAAAGTAGTCACGATCCAACACGTCATCTTGGACATCGCGGGCTAATTCCCAATGAATGAACTGCTCCTGACAAGACACCGACTAGAACGGAGTACAGATGATCATCTCACCCTGGAGAGCGAACCTTAAAAAAGAACATGTATCAACAACGTTGGCAAAGCCAGCTTCCACAGACTCAAAGTCAGGAGGCTTGCGCTTAATGTCGGGCTTGCTTTGGGGCTGAGATATCCGGTCCACGCTACAGGGTGCCAATGGATCTTGCTACACATCGAATACTTGTCCAAGGCTTCTTCTTACAACTGCTCGGTACTCACCTTGGGCTAGATATCGTCGCCGCCGCTGCTGCTGCTGCTGTCAGCCCTAGGAAGCGAGATTGCCGATATCTGCATCATGTGACGAGTCTGTGCTGCGGTCATCCAGCGAGTCCTATTCATACAAGACGACGACAACACCAGACCATCATGATGGATATACGTTTCACGTCACGGTAGAGCTGAAGGGAAGACTGAAGTTGCAGATCTGGGTGACAGTCAGCAAGGCTAGGACGTCGGCCGCGAATCAAGTAGGGCAGGTCCTGATTTTCCAACACGTCGAACGAAGGATGGGCAGGGCCAACAAGTGCCGGATAAGGTTGGAGACGGTCTCTACTTTCAGCTTGCGACCCTCCCAAGGCTTGGAGACCACAGATCTGTCAAGACATGGCACCAACGGACAGATGCTTGCTAACCGCCGTTGCTCGTTGCCGTTTCGCGTCATGTTCTGGCGCTCTCGACCTCTGTCTGGCAAAACTGGCTACCCCCCTCCCCCCCCCCCTTCCTTAAACAAGCTACTAACACGGGCTATCCCCGCCCCTGCGACTTTTCATTATGGCTGGATCGCGTCAGGAAGAGGGAGCTAGGCCGCGAGATCAGGTCATCTTGCAACCGCTTCGAAGTGCACAGAACAGACGAGCGACTTTAGATCCGCCCAACCTACCCCCCTAAGAGTGCTCCCCGCTGCGTTTCTTTCACTTCAGCTTGTCTGGCCCTGTCGGCGTC